ATCCATCCATCCATCCATCCATCCATCCATCCATCCATCCATCCATCATCTTACTAGAAACTGGTTAAAGGGCAAGTTAGTTATCATAATTGTAACTACCTTTCATTGTTCTTCTGTAAATTTTAAAAAGGGACAGTAAAATGATTGTTTCTGAGTTGTGTATGTTTTACCATTTTGCCTTTTTAATGTAACTACTGGATGTTTTTTTACTGAGACTTCTAGATCGACATACAACTGATTTACTTTCCGAGTCAACTCGAATCAAGATGGCCTCCACAGCTGCTCAAGTTTAGAACAAAAATGGCTTTAACGCAGTCAGTTTGATAGACACTGAGCTGTAACTTAGTGTGGTACACCAAGTTAAGAAATGCCAAAACTTTATATTTGTGATCAACCATGATGAGATTCATCTTTATAGCTGACCGAATGTAATTCATGGTCAAACTAGGCATGCATTTTTGCAGTGTTTGTAATATTGATTTATTTTCAGAGAATACTATAAATCAGGCGGAACGGGGGCTCAGTTGGTAGAGCAGTTGCCTCTCAGCGAGAAGGTCGCCGGTACAATCCCGACCCGGGACCTTTCTAGGTGGAGTTTGCATGTTCTCTCCGTGCATGTGTGGGTTTTCTCTGAGTAAAACATAATGGATGGATGGATATGGTCCCTACTTTAATTTAATTTAGTTTATTTATATAGCACCAAGTCACAACAGAAGTCGTCTCAGGGCACTGAACAAAAACATTCACAAACATCATAAAAGCCAAGGAAGCCAGCAGATAGCATTGAATCTTAACTTTGGTGCAGTCTCCCATCCTGCGCAAGCACAAAGGCAACAGTGGAAAGGAAAAACTCCCTTTTAACAGGAAGAAACCTCCATCAGAACCAGGCTCAGGACAAGCGGCCATCTGCTTCGGCCAGCTGGTGTTTGAGAGGACAGGAAGTAGAAACACACAAACATAAAATGACAGGTCCAGGTGTACTTTCTATTGGAGGAAAGACAAAAAACATGTTAAAAAATATAAATCATTACAAATACAAACAGGTAGACTAGAGCAAGTAAAGACAGCAGCAGTGTGATGAAATGTGGTCAATTTGTCTGCCAGCAGTCTAAGCCCATATCAGCATAACTAAGGGATAGATCAGGAAACCCAAGCCGACCCTAACTATAGGATTTATCAAAAATGAAAGACTTAAGCCTAATATTAAAAGTAGACAATGTGTCAGCCTCATGGACAAAAACTGGAAGTTGGTTCCACAAGAGAGGAGCCTGATAATTAAAAGCTCTGCCTCCCATTCTACTTTTGGAAACTCTAGGAACCACAAGTAAACCTGCAGTCTGAAAGCGAAGGGCTCTGTTAGGAAAGTATAGAACAATGCGATCTGTAATCTAAGATGGATCTAGGTTGTTGAGAGTTTTGTAGAGTAGAAGTAAGATTTTGAATTTTATTCTGAATTTGGCAGGGAGCCAATGGATAGAAGCTAAAACTGGAGACTTTAATAAGCTGTATCACTGTGTCAAAACTATTTATGTCACGGCTTGTGTTTTCAAACATCCCTTTATTGCATTAAAGGGATGTTGTTTGATACCATTTTTACATGACAACCAGCATTTCCAAGGAATTTAAATTGGTTTCTGGTCATTTATTTTTGTTTCTGAAAAATGCTGGTGATTCCATATCAGCCTCTCTCACACTTTTTTATCTTAGATCTACAAAACCACAAGTTCCTTGTCAGTTATTAAGCAATGTCCATCACAATGATGAAATGTCTATTTCAGTGTTTTATGCAGAAATACTAGTACATAGTACAAGTAATCCCTTCAACTTGTAGTTCTAAGAACATACTTTTGAGCAAATTGTTTAGTAGCAGTCGTTGCTTCCTGCATATTGACTGGCAGCACATATCAATTCTGTTGCATAAGACGTCAGAATATAACATTAGGTTTGAGTAAACACGACACAAAGAAAGGAGTGCAAAAACCCAACATACTAAACTAGAACACACAGCAAAACAGCAGCACCAGCCACAGCACACCAGTAAAAACATATCCAGATGTTCTCCTCATAGGATCACCAACCCCCTCCTACACAAACATGTGGTCACACATGAGCTACACATTAGAGGCTTGCTCCTCAGCTTCTCTCGTCTCTTTTCTTTCTCATACAAAGACTGTTGTGAGGAGCTTTCTTTTAACGGTTCATCCCTGTAGACTAGAAGAAACATCTGCATCCCAAACAGAGAAGACCATGTTTGATAAAGCTGTGTTCCTTCAGGTACAGTTATAGAAGATCTATTAGAAGACCTATTAGGAACCAACTTTAAGTTACTCTAAGCAAATATCTTGCTGCCCTGAGAGGCTATAACTAAATAAAGATGCTTTCATAAAAAAATAAATTAAAAAAAGCTGTTAAACTAACAGGCTACCATCAATATAAATACAGATGGGTAGAATTTTATGTGGCTCAAGGAGCTACAGATTTCACCTTAAACTTGAACTTTGACTTTCCCTTGAACCACAAAATTCTAAACAGACCAGTGCAAATATTGTCCACTTTAACTACAACAACCTCGTCCATGTTTTGAAATGAAAACTGGTCCCCATTAAAAACTGGTATAAAAGAGTGCTCCCACAAACACACGCCGGTTGAGGAGCCTCTTTCAGCTCCTTCTCTCCTTCACTGGAGCTCCTGGCACGCCGTCTGGTTGAGGCCATAGTAAAGGGAGCTGTTTTGACTGGACTGTGTGTGTGTGTGTGTGTGTGTGTGTGTGTCCATCCGTGGGCCCCAGACAGGAAGGAAAAGAGTGGGCCCGGCAGCACAGCTCCAGAATTCCGGTTTAGTTTTGCTTCTTTTTCCATCAGTGCAGAGGCAGAATCGGGTCTTAAAGAAACAGTTCACATTTTTTTCCTCTTCAATGCACATATGTCTCTCTGAGAAACTAATACCTTCAACCCGGGACCCACTATGACTCACCATCGTAGTACATATGTAACCATATTACCAGCTCTTGAAAGAAAAAGAAAAGATGAATACTTGTGGCTTAGCTCAATGTGTTCCCTGAGAAATTGCTGTAAGTGCAGCCTCTGGCTCATTTTCATTGAAGCTTCTAAAAATAAAGTTACTGATCCAGCATCAGCGGTCAGGTTACGTAAATTACTCAGGGGGTGAAACATAAGGATTTTGGATACAAGCAGGCTGGGGGTATTTTGCTTCCACCCACATGCTTTTGTAATAAATCATCCCACAAAATCTGGCAGAGAAAGGGTTGAAAATTACCGTACTCGCTGTGAGCAAAGGATGACACAACCCACAGCTCATGATCTAAACATCTCTTCTAAGGACAATAAAGACAGGAAAGTCAATATTTCACCGGGAAATGCTGTGGCTCAGCGGACTAAACATATAAAAACAAGTCATGATACTGTATAATTAATTTGTCACAAACATCACTTGTTGCTACGAAAAGAAATCTCAAACATTTATATTGACTAATTTCACACCAAGGTTGAGAGCAAAAAACATTTATTAATAATAACGTACTTCTGAGTATAAAAGTTTTAGGAACAGTATAAAAAGGCAAATGAAAAACAGAAGTAAAAGAAAACTAATAATCCAAACCACATCACAAAAGTCTGAGGATGTTGTCATTTGACATGTTCTTATTGGCAACAAATTCCCTGCAAATAAACAAGTTACTTCCTATTTTTTGACTGTGTAAACCTGTCTGCAGCGTTAAGTCCAAAGCTCAACGTAAACACACAGGTAAGGTGGTAAGTAAACAAGTTTCAAGAGCTTTAAAGAAATAATATGTAGATGCAGTGCCCTGGAGCAGCACGGTCTGTGTCGGAGTAACGGTGTGAAACGTGCTGTTTCAAATAGTAGTTTTAGGAAAGCAACAGATATTTAGTTTTAATGTTTTCATGGGATCTCTTGACATTAAAAACAGAAACAATCACCAAATGTATAAAATAAAGGCACTTTAGTGACTCTGTCAGGTGTTATTTTTGAGTATTTGCAGCAGCTGGTAATTATTTAAACTTTCAAACTGACAGCAACTAAAACACTTCCATTAATCCGTTAACTGGTTCTGTGTACACGTACTGTAGCCAGACTTTGTGATAACCACAAGCTTTTGATCTCCTACTTGTGACAAACTGAGATAAAATATAAATATGCATGAGCAGAGGCCTTCGTATGCGTTGACACTTGCACAGGCAGTGGCTCTGAACGCACATTCAGAGTATGCACATATACAAAAAGACTAGGCCTTTGTCAGCAGAAAACAGGCTGCACACTCAGCACTAATGTGGAGGAACTTCTCTAATATTCAGCTCCTTCACCCCTGATATTTCTGTGTAAAATAACCAGTGCATCAGCAGGAAGGCTCAGTGTGCATTCATTTGGTACTTGTGAACGTGTGGCTCAATATGTAAGGCCTCTTATTTAAGGTGCGACTGTAAAAGCCTATATGTCTATAATGTCCATGTGGCCACCTTTGTTGCACCATCGTCAACTTCTCTTCGATCCTTAGGCTTCCCCTTTCCTCTGAAGATGTAGTCCAATGTCAATTTGATTCTCCAAACACTCCTTGAGCTTGTCTTCTGTCAGCGTCAGCCGCTGCTCGAGGATCGAAACAGTCTGGATGGAGGAAAACAAAGACGAGGGGAGGGAACAAAGACAAAGAAAGAAAGGAAGGATGAAGATGAGTATAAATGTGTGTTCCAGGGGTCTGTACAGAATTAGCGTTCCAGTAATGATTCCATGATGGCGGAGGCTGTGCGTGCAAAACAATCCAGTGAGTTATTGTTGAGCATTTAGCTGCTTTGAATGAAAACACCAGAGTCAGTGTGTCTGGCATGCACCCTTTGTTGTTTTCTTTCTCACAGTTGCATGAAGACACTTGTGCACACAGACGACACAAGAAAGTTGTGTTCTGAAAAAGGGCCAGCATGTGTGGGCAGTGAGATCACAGTACTACATACTTTTCCTCTGAGCATCATCCAACAGGGACAGTATTTGTGTATGCACATTTCTGCATTTGAGCCCTGTGCCATGAGCCTGTTGATCAGGTGAGTCCAGGGGAAATGTCAAGGGTAATTGCAATCTGGAAGAATAAATCACCAACTTTTATATTTTAGTTAATGTCAGGTTGGGCAGCATGGTGATGCAGTGGTTAGAGCCATCCCCTCTCAACAACAAAGTCACCAGATCGCCTCCCAGCCTGGAGCCTCTCTAGGTGGAGTTTGTATGTTCTCCATGTGCACAAGTGGGTCTTCTTCAGATATTCTGGTTTCCTCTCACAGACCAAAAACACGATTGTTGGGCTAATTGGTAACTCTAAATTGTCCCTAGGTGTGGGTGAGAGTGTGAATGGTTGAGTGTCCCTTGTCTCCATGTGTCCCTGTGATGGACTGGAGACCTGTCCTGGGTGTACCCTCCTCTCACACAGCGACTGCTGGAGATAGATACTGACTCACATTGCGACCAGAAAGAAGAAGCCGATAAAGTGAGTGGGTGAAAAGTGGGGAGGGAGGGAGGGAAGGAGGGAGGGAAGGGGGGTGGGAAAGTAAGTGGAGAGGGAAGGATGGATGGTCGGTCGGTCTTAGGTTCAATAGCCACACAAAATCAGTAACTGAATAAGTTTTCTTGCTTTTAAAAAGTAAAAATGTAGAAAAACATCAGGCTTAAATAGTGTAAAACAAGACTTTAGTCCAGTTCACAATAATTTGGGATCCTGAGAACTTAAGAAGTTGACTACAGTATACACAACTGTTTTCTTTCTTTCGGCTGCTCCCTTCTTCAGGGTGAAGAAACTCGCACGAACACTTGGCAAATGTTTTTCGCTGGATGCCCTTCCTGACATAACCACAGACCACCGAGCTACTACAGCCCTCTGTGTGGAGCAGAGAGCTGCCATCTAAGGCGCCCGGGGAAGCAGATGGTGGGGTTTAAAGGCCTTGCTCATGGGCCCAGAGTGGGGCAAATGAGAGTGGAGGCAGGTGAGAGTGTTTCACCTTCATCAACCACATTTTTTGATGTCGTCAGTCCAGAGAGTTGAATCGGTGACCTTCTGCTCACTTTCTCTAACCTCTGTGCTGCCACTCCCCGCGAGTTGAATATATACCATAAGAAATATTATATCAGAGTCAGAGATTCTTTATCGTCAGTCGCACCACATGTGGTACATGTGGTGGAGCGAAATTATGTACACAGGGTTTCAGTACTGAAACAATAAAGAAACAAACCAAAATTAAGCTATATTTTTGTGCAAATGCAGTACCAATGATTGTGATTATATTTATGAACAGGTGGAAAAATTCACTTTAGTTTTGTTGCTTTATTATTACGTATTTTCAAAGGATTCGCCAGAACTTCTGACATTTTTTGCCTTTTTAAAATATTAAATCTAAATTCATTTATTCGTCAATGGTAGTCATAAAACTTAAGGAAATAATTGCAAGGTATCAGTCATTTATCGTTTCTACATCCATTTCTGAACACATTTTCTGCTTTACGTTTGTTTTTTTATGGTACCCTACAGTCTTTAAGATTTACACCCTATATTTAAAACAGCAAAAACAGGCAAACGTTAACACCAGCCGCAAATAAATCAGGTCCAATACATTCAATAGTCAATAAGCAAACTAGGGGTGCGCAATATTATCGGCATGGAATCGGCTGATATTAGCGTTTAAGTTAAATATCGGACATCGGCCATTCCATCAAAATAACTCACAGATATAAAAGACGCTGTTTTTGTACGAGAACCCAGTCACAACCCAGTCACATTGTGCTGCAGTGCCAGCACAATGTGATGACGTCACACGCGCCTACCTGATCTGATCACGGCAGAGAGGAAGAAGTCAAAATATCCACGGTGTGGAAGTCTTTTTATTGTTGAGGATATTGGAGTACGAAGATTCTTTGGACTTCGTTGAGCCTCGCTACATCGTCCACAGTCAGAGACATTTTTCTGACGTAACCTTACTCAAGTTACAAACCATCATTTCCGACGTCATTGAGAAGCTAATAGCCGATAGCACTTGGGTGAGTTTTACCACAGACATGTGGACGTCGTGTTAGCCCCGTTAGCATGATTAGTCTTACGACACAATGGATTGACAAAAACTTTGAACTTAAAAAGTCTGTCCTTCATGCACAGGAGAGGAGTGCAGAGAATCCCACACTGCAGCTAGGAACCTGGAACAAGCCTCCACAAGTGAGACAGCATCGCAGGTGACTAATGCTAATAAATAACATTTAACACTTTTCATTTAATATAAGCTAAAGACAAGTGCTATGCATATCATATGGCTGTTACTGAATATATGTCACCAGATCTTACAGCTATTACACAACTTTTGTAGCAAATAAGCCTAAATAAGAGGGCTATGTTCTGACAAATGGACGTACAGTATATAAAAAATATCGGTATCGGCCAAATGAGTTTTAACATATTGGCATATCGGATATAGGCCAAAAATCCAATATCGTGCATCCCTGAAACAAAGGTTGCCTGACATTGCAAAGGAAATTAAACACAGCAGTAATAAATTTTGAAAATTAGCAAATGATCTGTGGATTTATCATTCAGTCTAGAAAGGTTTATGCCACAAAAATATCCTGCAACTAAGTTTCATCATGTTGTGAGATCACTTGAGACTTCTGTTCTTAAATCGGAGAACATAAAAAAAGGTGAAGCTGCTCGGAGTTCACTGTTAAGGTAAGTAAATGGATACAATTCTGATAATAATGTACAATAAATATAGTTATTATAAAATGAAAATAAAAAAGTGATATTAGTCAAATCAAGTGTTCTTTTGGAAACGATAAAGTGGCAACAATTCCCTCTGCTCCATTGAAGAAATGATTTTACTGAACTAATGTTTTCTGGTGAGAAACACGACCCCAGCAGCTGCAGCAGATTTTGATGGACGCTCTTAGTTACAGGCAGCAAACACAGTCTCAGACACATGAGGCTCTCCGGGTCTAGTGCAATAGAAATGTAAGAATGTGAGCGTGTCTTGACTTGTAGTTCTACGATTTGTCACTCTTTGTGGCACCAATTACAATCATGGCACTCTTCAATTCTAGAAAGCAGCACAGGGATGCAAGCATTTACACAATAAGAGGAAACAAACAACAAAAACAAAACCTAGTTTCATAATTATTATACTATAGTGCAGTATTTGAATCTTGAGTGAATACTAAAGGTACTAAGCATCACATGTTGGATCGCTTATTGTATACTGCTTCAGAAAGCTCTCTCCATTTTACTTTTCTGTTGTGAAGTTTTAATGCAGGCTATACATATGTGTCATAAAATTATATCTCGACATCTTGTCCACACATTCTTCTGTTGTACTAGTTTTTGACCCACAATAATAGATAAATATGTGAACAAACCCACTATGGTAACAACTTGTATTTATGTGGATAACTGCCTAAATTGCCTAAATTTTTGTTTCTTATGAAACATCACCCACACACTGACTTTTCTGGTGAGTGGAAAAAAACAAAAAGGAGCTAACAGATGGCGGTTCCACCCTGAGGCATATTGCATTTTATTCCAATTTGACTCTGAATAGAAAACATTTTATTAAACATTATACCAATTTTTTTTTTTTTATAAAACAAGCAATTGAAAATGTAAAGTTAAAGGGACAGCAATAACCTGAATAATAAATAAAGTGAGAAAATGGCCTGGCATTTGTAAAATCTTGCTCATTTTTTGTAACAAAAGGAATCACCCCTCCTGGACCGTCAGAAAAAATCCAGGCTTTTAGACACAACAGTGGCTTCATTTTTCAGACCCTGAAGCTAAATCCATCTTTTCCATTGACATTTCTTTTGTCTGTTTTTCTGAAAATCCAATATGCATGCCTAAGATTTACTTTCTAAATTTTAGGACAGAACTGTCACTGAACACGGGCAAGTTCTTCTGTCTTTCTTACACATATTTTAAGACGGACTGCTGCTGTAAAAACATTTAATGTGGAAACGTGCAGGCCTTTTAAAATGATAACAAATAAATTAGCAAGGTTGTTCTAAGCAACAATGTGCCGTATAACAAAAAGTAACTGAGCAATGAGAAATATAATAAACTGGATTGTGAATGGAAAGGTCTTTGTTCATCAAACACAAAATACTTTAACTCTCTCCATTATCAAGCAAATCAGTGACTAAAACAATTCTAATTTATCAAAGTTCACAGTTTTAGTCTGAAGTAGAAGGCATAAATTAACACAAAAGGCATCATTTTATGAAATATTTAATAAATGACATTCTGTATATAAAAAGAACTGCTCAAGTTTATAAAACCCACTTTATAATCAAACCGTACAACGAGCAGTGGGTTTGACAATGTGTGGGCGAGTGATGGTTGTCTGAAAAGATAACATCTCCTGCTATTTCATGCTTAATGTGACCACTTGTATTTTCACTCTCTTACTCCGCCCGTCTCCATTTCAGATCAATATGACCCTGTTTATCTCACCAGCCTGATGCTGAGAGCTGTGTGTGTGTGTGTGTGTGCGTGTGTGTGTGTGTGTGTGTGTGTGTGTGTGTGTGTGTGTGTGTGTGTGTG